TTCATCACGAAAATGGCCAGCAGCCAGAATCAAGGGGGATTCCCATAGAGTTCTGGGTAAATCAAGGAAATACTCGCTGTTACGGCACGCCTGATTGGCTGAAAATGAGTATGCGCACTTGATTTACCCAGAACTCTGTGCGAATTCATGAAATTGTCGGATATCACCAGAAAACTCGCGATTTGTGCAGTTTTGAATAAAACCAAGTTAGCGATTATGAACAATGGTTATTAACATAACACCTGACCCCCTCTGCACTTTTTGTTTCGCATTTTAAGGTAAGAAATCGACATTTGAAAACGACAGGGTGTCGATTTACTAGGTGCCGTGTTTCACAACTTGTTTTTATATACGTATAGCGGATGATTTTTTTTTTGAAAATTAGTATTTATCGATTTTCAGCCCCCAAGTGACTGTGGCCGATAGGCTGCTTGTTTGTGAATGTTTCATCATTTATTTTTGAAAAAAAATGCTGTTTTTGAATTCTTCTTAAACGCTACCAACCCCAGTTGCTTAGATATTTGAGGTATACCTTATTTTTGTGAACAACTTGTTTGTAGAGTTAAGCTGACACGTTCTCAACCGCCTGAACCAAACTACTTTTTTGTATGTTAACCACATTTTGTCTTATGGGTGTGTGATGCTCAACTTGGCTACCACAATGTTCTTAGTTATAGCGAAGCCATTTTGACAATCAGGTCGCTTGTTTATACATGCTGACAATGTTATGACAACTTGTATATCTTTAATTAACATTTTATCTTTTTTATTTAGTTTGGTATCTGCGTTCTATGTTGTTTATTGTCAAAAGCTGAAGATATTCTATCTACTACATTACCTATAGATATAGACCTTGACACAGAGAAACAATGGTAAGCTAATACATACTTGATTCATATAATTTTAGTTTCAATATATAGTTAAATGTAACACTCGTAAGAAATGTGTATTCTACAGTTATATTAGTGTTCTTTGGTTAGTCTTTGCATCATAGCACGCACTATACACAGTTCATTCAAAAGCAAGATGCATCAACGTTGCTCATGGTAGTAACTTGTTCTTTATTACCGCACAAAATTGTTTGAATTAACTCGCTTGTTTGTAAAAGCTCACGTATGCAGTTTAGACAAGTGTCATTTACAGGACAGCAGTAGGCTTCAGAATGGGTCGCAGGCAACATTATACAACTTGTTTTATGTGTTGTATACTTGTCTGTGTAGAGTGATACAAGGAACCTTGTGGTGGATGAATGCATTTCATATTGTAGTAAAAGCACTTTTCAACATGTTTTTTAAAACTTCTAGGAATGATTACATTGTGCAGATTGGTGGAGAAATTGCCTCTGTTAATGTTGAGAACATGGAAAGCCCAACAGAAGATAATTGTAATCAAGTTCTTGAGCACTTTGCAAGATATGTAGACAAACAAACTTATATCACCCTGCAGCAGAGAATAAAGTATGTAACTTGTATCAATATATAACGGAAAGAGTTCCTTTTGTACCACCCATCCCTAATCCTACCCTCCAGCACTCTCCATTTAATTGTACATGCCCCTTCTAAGGACATCTATAGTTATCTAGAGGGGGCATATACAAATGAATTGGGTAACTGGGAGTGAGTGAGTGTTAGTTAGGGATGCTATTAGCTATGCTGATTATTAATGTTCATTGATTTGTCTATGGAAATGATAGTTGATATGCAAATTAGTTTATTAATATGCATAGATGGAACTATTATTGAATATTTGTCGATACAAACAGCAAACATGAACAAAGTTTCAATCTGTTTAAATAAACTGTTTGCTGCTGTACAAAGAACATGCAAAAACCAATCATTTATGCAAATTAGTGTTAATACGCATAGATTAATTAAAGGTTGTTAAACCTTAATCTGGACAATTCAAGGTTTGACGTCTGTGTCTCAATGATATACAAGATAATTTCTGATTATATTTTTTCTTTTTACATTGCAGGTTCTCAGCATAGATATCTATATATGGTAAAAGTATTTGTTTTTACTTGAAGATAGCTTTGTAAAGATTTTTTTATTACAATAGTCAATCTTTATAAATATTTACTAAATATAAAATTTGTTTATCAAGGCATTATTTAATTGTATGCGCAATGCAACCTTATGTTTATACACAGATCATGTAATCCAATCAGTTTTCGCTTTGTGCTGTAGTATAATTTTTTGACATTGTTTTTCACCCTTTTGATGCGAAAATGACATTTTGCTGTAAACATTACCATTCTGAACAACATAACTGTCCAGACCTTGCCCACATGGTGTGTACAAGGCTCCCCTGGCTATTGATGTGTACACATAGTTTAAGTTAAATATAAGAGCTATCAAAATAGCATTTTGTCCCTCGTTAATCTACCTGAAAATTGTCTGGCAAATGTGTTGGATTGGCAAGTTTTGGCAAATAATCAGAAATAGTGTTTCGGCAAAATATGGCCATTAATATTGACAAGAGATATTATGAACACACACTATGAAGTATATGGTGGTTTTTGATGTTAAAATGACCAATCTGTGTTTGGGAAAAAATTTTCACATTGACTGTACCAAGGATCTAAGATTCCTCATCAACTACCATTCATTCTCCGTAGTTGTGTTTTAACTATCTTGTACAGGGAATTTAATTTTCTTACAGTAACTTAAAGTCTGTCTAAGTTAGTGATGAAACCAAATAATGTGGTTGTGATTAATGCTTGATCAGTAGTTTTATTATCAATGAACTTTTTGTGAGTAGAGTACTAGAGCTGTATTTGGAAGATGATCACCATATTTCTTTTTAGGAGAGTCTGGCAGAAATATGCGGACGTGCAAATAAGCTTGAAAATAATGAGATGTTCTTGTTTGTCACAAGAAGACAAGAATCTAGTCAGGATGTCATCCACTGCAGCATTTCACCACTTCATCATGTTTTGGCTTTTTAGTTAGAATTTGCTTAACTGGAATTTTCTGCGAATGACAACCAGACAAGACATGAAGGTTCTTGTCCCATTTAAAGTAACGTAAAGTCTATTCTTTATTTATTGTAGAAAATTGTCAAATCTGTGCAGTTGTATAGTGCTTTAGTGCATCAAATATTTTGGTTTGTGAAAATGTCGCTTTTTACATGATCTTGTAAAAGAATGCAAGTTAGGTGAACAGGGATTTCCCAGATCAGGGACATCCACATGATTTCGAGAAAAAAAAATTCCATAATGTGTTTTGTTTGATGTATGATAAATTATTCATCTCATCAGCAAACGTAGCATAGCAACAGATAAAAGTGAAAATAAAATAATTTACAGTATTTGTATGTACTGAAAAAGTACAGTACAAATTGTAATAGATTTCAGATTACCGAAATAAATATTTTATCCAACAAGAATCATGTGTAACCAAAAAAACATTCACGGTCATAGATGTGGGCTTTTGTAGTAAAAATTGTTAGTTTTACCTCACTGTTAAGTACCACCTGCGAAAAACAGAAAATGGAGATACTTTTTGTACACTAAGTTCTGCATTTGACCAGCGGACTGATTCTTCCACTGTAAAGTGGCAAAATGTATTTTGACGTGACATTTCTTAAACTTTGATAGGCGCACTTGTAATTGTACACAAGACTGCTTTTAAACATCTAACACTGTATTTTAACTTGTGGTAGATGTCAGTTATCCTCACAGACCAAATACATTTGTTACTCTGGTTCTGACGGATAGCAGACTTTATTTTTGATTGTTATATTGTCTAGTTAGGGTTGGACCGAATATTGAAAACTAAGATTATTTTACTTTTACCAATGACATTTGGTGCTTAACTGTCTGTTATGCAACTGAAAATTTCATGCACATGTCTTGATAGCCAGAACACCAAAACTTGGCCAGTCACTTCACACATCACATCAGACTGGCAAACAAAATTAACAAGCGATGACAATACTTTAAATGTGTGAATAAACAACTTGTTTGACTAACCACATACATGTACATATTTGTTGCTATGCATAGTATGGGACCCTTATCTAAGGTACAGACATGTTTAAGTGTGATTCTTGGCCAACAAGACTTCAATGAATGGTCAGTTGCATTGTGATTGGACGAAACAATTGTTTTGTAGGAAGTTTAAAATTACGTAAATGATTTGTTGTCCAATCCTAGTTTAGTGTGCAGTTTTGACATTTTTGTATGATTATTTGTATGCATTTATTGTTACCATGGATGCCAACCACCAAATACATTTGTTTCCATGGTGATGGTATCAATAAAACTCTTAACTGCAGGTTCTGTGTCTGTCATTAATAAAGATGGTGCTTGTCTTCTCGAGACTATTCTAAAATTATGTTAATGAAACTAGTACCAGGTAAATTTTGATGTGGACTGGTCCAGCAAAGTAAATGCTCTATTTTTATTCCAATCAAACAAAAAAAAAACTTGTATGATAGTCTTCATGCATGGCAGAAGCTCTTGAATGTCTAGCACTAAAATTGCTGAATAAATAGTGTCATTTCAAAACCACTTGCATCAAAGTTCTACTAAAATATACATGTAGTTTACAAAATCCAAACACAAAATTATAAATACATTGCTTTTATTTAACAACCACCCACCTTCTTTTTATCTTCCCACTATTTAACGAGAGTTGATCTGTTTTAGGAACATCTGATTTATAAGCGACCCATGCATGTGTTGCACTATAATCACCATTTAATAGCAATACCCGTAATTATATTTTTTGTAATGCGACAGAATGCCTTTTACTAGTGACTAAAAATAACACCGCAAATTTTAGATTATCAATGACATGCAATTTTCTTGGAACGTAGCTTCCAACTTTTATAGACTGCAGTGGTTGTCACACGGCCCATATCAAACGACATTGTGGCTACCATGCACTCCCTCCCCCCTCCCCCTGTTTATGGTTTTTCTCCTCTGGCAAGTCGTCTGTTGATATCATCAATAACTTCTGGGAGGTCCACAATACTGTCGATAACGTAATGTGCGCCGGAATCTATCAATTTAGTATACGCATTCTTCATTCTACGTTCAAATTCCACAGATTCCATTTCCTTGAGCTGCTCCTCGGATGCAGCTACGTAGTTTCCCTGTATTAAAAATAAAATGTTACAGCGGTTGCCAAAATGTGATCATGAAAATTATTACACTGCAGGGGTGTAATTAACACAAGCAGCCAGTCGGCTGAGAGCTCCGCTGTTAGCAATGCACATTTCAATTAAAGAACAGAAGATATCATTAGAAAATGGACAATATGTATAGTATCAAAGCAATGGGACTTGCTGTTTTCAACAAGAATTCAAAAATTACAGTTTTCACCAAAAATAATCGTCAAAATTGGATAATTGAAGATATCATGAAATGAACAAATCTGTAAGTGGTCCACATGTAGTACCTATATATGTAATATCAAGGCAATTGGACTTGTGGTTTTTAACAAGAAGTTGAAAATATCACTTTTTACCAAAAATGACAAAAATATTCACCAAAATTAGAGTACTTGAGATTTTGACATGAAATAAACAAATCTGAGAAAGAACCATCCAAGATACTTGCATATCAAATTTTAAAAAATTCGGATTGGGTTTTGAAGAAGTTGAAATTATAAAGTTAACGACTATGGACAATCAGTAATATGAACAGCTCCGCTTTGTTAACAGCGGAGCTAAAAAAAAGCACATTGTACTAGGTTGTGGGACAGAAAACTTTTTTTGCCAGCCACCCAAACAATTGTTGGGGGCAACAACACCAGTCGTGAAAAGTTTTTTTTTCAAACTACAATTCAACAACCACTATCCTACGACAGTACTTGTGTCAGCAAAAAGTTGGTTAATAATACTACCAGTACATTGGACCACGAAATTGTGTGGTATTCATTTTCTTGGTTGTTCTAATGGGCAACCACTTTTCATATTTATTTGTCATGTTATAAAAGTGGTTGTCGGGGACAACAGTCAAATTCTTCACCTTATGCTAGTGTTGCCTGATAAGGAAAAGAAAGAATATCGCACACAATCTAAATTACCGTAGGCCAAGAAGTAAAAATGTTGTGGTTCCTACAACCTGACTTATTTTTCACTGCCTGACCCTAAAATTTTTTTGGCCATATTTCACAAAATTGTGGCAAGCTTTGTAGGAGATTTTACAGAAATTCAAATTTGCAAAACTTGGTAATGTAAAAAACATAAAACATGAATTATGAAACACATATCTGCAAAAAAATTAAACAAAAAAATTGTAACAAAGATAAATATATAGGAAAATAATAAATATATCTCTACCTACATAATCCATTTTTGAAAAGCACCGGTATGTTATAGAAACCACAATTTTGTTTTATTTGGCCTTACTAGTACTACTAGTAAACCTGTATTTTTTATAAAGACCACCTGCCCATAAAATGATCACCTTAATTTAATAACACGTTAAGTGACCTGTAGAATAATTTATTTTCGCTTGGAATTTATTTTCGCTGAAGGGAAGATTCTGTGAAAATAAAATCCAGTGAATATACTTTTTTTCCTATATTTCACATTAAATAAATTCCATACAAAACTCCCAAAAAGTATAAGGCCAGTAAGCAGTGACTGTCCTTTTAGCACTGGTTTGGTCAAATGTACTTGTGTGTGAAGGTCAAAATGATAGGTGATTGCACGTGTTCATTTATAATCTTTACACTGACATTTTAAACTTGATAAAAAAACATCGTTTTATTTATGATCCACATCTTCAAATATCTATTCTTAATAGGCGACCTGACGGTTGAAATAGCTCTGCTATGAGTAAGAACATTGTGGTAGCCAAGTTGAGAACAACTTGTTAACAAAAATAATGTACACCTCAAATATCAAAGCAATTGGGCTGGCAGTGTTCAAGATGAAGTTGAAAATGACAAAAATATTTGCCAAAAATAAAGAATTGAACAAATCTGATCATCTATCTCTTATATGAACTGCTATGCTCTGTCGGCGGAGCTAATACAGTCTTTTTGCCACTCTACTTGGTGGCTATTGTTTTAAGTATGAGTAATTTTTGATAGAGGAGTTTTTTTTTGTTCAGCATCCTTTGTTCCTATTTCCTAGTAAAGTACTCTTTCTTTGTCAGTGTTTACTAGGAAAGAACTTTTTCTTTGTTGCATTTACTAGTAAGTGGACTGTTTTTCAGAACAAGTTTTTTTTCTCAGAATTCACTTGCAGAGTATTATTTCCCCCTCACTATTTAAAAATGGGGAATTCTTATGAGCATCAATACATTGGATTTGAACCAAAGATTTCCAGATCAGAGTCTGATCAGTGAGCTGTGTAGATGCTAGTTATGTATTATTTATGTATTGACATATTTATAGAGAAAACACAGGATATGAAATTAATTAACCCTAGGAACCAAGAGATATAATTGAGGCTTGACTGCATTGTCAGGATGTTGTACTACTTACTGTTTTAGCGACACCTATACTCCAACAGCCAGCAGTGATACCTTCCTTCACACCATCCACAGTATCATCAACCTAAGGTGGAGAACACACCCAAAATTAAATTGATACAGACTGCAATTGGGGATCAATATTAACATCTATTCAACCCTAATTGGGGCTGACCATTAGAAACTCGGTGAGATCATAAATTGCAAATTATATTTTACTTCATTTAGTTTTCAGGATGACATTGCTTTAATTATTTTGTCTTCCTACCAGTTGGCCATTTTAAATTCAATCAAATAAAATGATGTGCATCAAGGGTCCATATTGTCCAATCAATGAACCAAGTGAGAACAAAATATAAATACACAATCAAAATCTGATTCCAAAACTAAATAAAAATGGAAGAATTTTTAGCACAAAAATGACTGCCAATTCGGCCATCTTGAAATTGATCAGGAAAGATACCTGGAACAATTAATATTCTGATAGCATGTATTAACAATAGCAGTTACTATGGTGATAGTTACCTTGACAATGGCCTCAATGGGATGTACATCTAGTTTAATAGCATTGAGCCATACCATATAAGGGCAAGGTCTTGCCTGTGGCACTTCATCGGCGGCTACGTAACAATCTGGTGTATAACCTTGTTTGGTTGCTATGGGTTTCAGCATGTCAACAATAGGTGTGGGGTACCCTGTTGAAGATCCAATTTTGATTCCATCTTGTCGTAGCTTTTCTACTACTTCTAGAGTTCCTGCAATAACAATTAAAGAACATATACACTAAAAGGAAAAACATTGTTACTATGGAAACAAGTTCAGATACTGTCATTAATTTGATGGAACCTTATTCCACTCAGCAAAATATCAAAAATTTGTAGAGTTTTAAAATTATACCTAATAAGACCCGCCAATCTTAAACATTTGAGCGCAAAATTCATACATTCACAAAATTTGTAATATTACATAATTTTTTTCAAAATTTTGATCAAAACTTGTAGCCAATTAGAAATTATGTCCATTTGGACAAAATTTTCAAAATATAGAAACATTAATAAAAACAAGAATATGTTGCACCAAATTTTCCATTTTCAGAACTGTGCATGAGCTGATCTCCTGTTGTCCAGCAGTTATTTATCGGTATCTACTTTGTGTGCACTATGCACTACGCTTTGTGCAGATCATAACATCACAAAAAACTTATGAGTCCCATATCGAACAGCACGCACCGCGGTGATCAACGCCTTTTGACTATGATCAAGCACAACACATTTTACTCACCTGGTATAACATTGGAATAATTTTTCAGACTTTCCAACTGTATTGGTACAAACTGTTTATACATTCTGTCAATGTCTGCTTCTGTTGGGGGCTTACCATAGTGTGCTACCCAGCGAGATTTGACACCTTCATTTTCTAACACTTTCTGGATATGAACCTAAATTGAACAAAGATATTCTAATAAAAGTACTCTGCAAGTCATCTTTGGACTTACCAACTCAGAAATTTTAGATGGCTAACCAACTCATTAATTTGAGATGGCTTCCGAACTCATTAATTTGAGATGGCTCCCTAACTCACCACCATTTGAGATGGCTTCCGAACTCACTACCATTTGAGATGGCTTCCGAACTCAGTACTGTTTGAGATGGCTTTCAAACTCAGTACCATTTGAGATGACTTTTATAATTCAGTACCATTTGCGATGGCTTTCTAACTCACTACCATTTGAGATGGCTTCCTAACTCAGTACCATTTAATATGGCTTCCTAACTCAGTACTATTTGAGATGGCTTCCTAACTGATTAATCAGTACCATTTGAGATGGCTCCCTAACTCAGTACCGTTTGAGATGGCTTTCAAAGTCAGTACTATTTGAGATGACTTTCCTAATTCAGTACCATTTGCGATGGCTTTCTAACTCATTACCATTTAAGATGGCTTCCTAACTCAGTATCATTTGAGATGGCTTTTCTAACTCAGTACTATTTGAGATGGCTCCCTAACTCAGTACCATTTGAGATGACTTTTCTAACTCAGTACTATTTGAGATGGCTTCCTAACTCAGTACCGTTTGAGATGGCTTTCAAACTCAGTACCATTTGAGATGACTTTTCTAATTCAGTACCATTTGTGATGGCTTCCTAACTCAGTACCATTTGAGGTGACTTTTCTAACTCAGTACCATTTGTGATGGCTTTCTAACTCAATACCATTTGAGATGACTTTTCTAACTCAGTACCATTTGAGATGGCTTTCAAACTCAGTACCATTTAAGATGGCTTCCAAACTCAATACCATTTAAGATGGCTGATTAACACAGTACCATTTGAGATGGCTTCCTAACTCAGTACCATTTGAGATGGCTTTTCTAACTCAGTACTATTTGAGATGGCTTCCTAACTCAGTACCGTTTGAGATGGCTTTCAAACTCAGTACCATTTGAGATGACTTTTCTAATTCAGTACCATTTGTGATGGCTTCCTAACTCAGTACCATTTAAGATGGCTTCCTAACTCAATACCATTTAAGATGGCTTTTTAACACAGTACCATTTGAGATGGCTTCCTAACTCAGTACCATTTGAGATGGCTTTCTAACTCAGTACCATTTAAAATGGCTTTTCTAACTCAGTACCATTTAAGATGGCTTTTTAACTCAGTACTCAGATGGCTTTCTAATTTATAAATACAAACAGCATCATGTCAATGCTTGTTTCAACATCGTTATTTGACATATTAATATTGATTAATATCACGATTGACCTTGATTTCCAGATATACCCAGATAGATGGAGATAAACAAGAATAATAATTCCATTCATCACAAAATACCAGTAAAGTATGAGATCTAGAATGGGAGACAAAAGCATGCTATATAATATGTCTCATGTTTATAAATAGCTCCTCAGCTTACCCTCTTATGTGTACCCATAGGCCCCCTAGCTTCTTCATCTGTGATGGGCACTCCTTCATTTTTAAAGATTTTGACGAATGTTAGTACTGGTGCAAATACCCCACAGTCCACCACAGTACCAGCCCAGTCAAACACAACAGCCTTGACTCTTCCAGTGTATGTACATTTACAGTGATATTCCATACGCGGATTACACCACTGACCTGCAAGTGAAAATAAAAAAATAAATAATTAGTCCAGACTTGAATGCAATGTGAATGAAAAAAAAAATCAACTTTAATGTGTACTTCATGTAAATACTACATGTATTCCACATTGTTATGTAGTTTCATTACTCAATACTCATCCCAAATTACAATATTCAAGAGAGTCTGAACACCTAGCCACAGTTTTTATGACTGTTTTCCGTAGTGGTTGTTGTCCGGTGGTGAAAAATGCCAAAATGTCCTCTTTTTCAAGAATACCCTACTTGTTGTGCTGTATGTAAGCCTGTTCCCTTTCAGCATACCAGTACATTCCACTGAGCAATAATAATATTTATTGACACAACTGACCACAGTACAGCAGTGAAGTCTCAATAAATAAGGCAAAATAATACTAAGTAGAAAACTATCATTAGAAGGAAAATAATAACTTGAGAAAGCAAACGTTTCCCAGATTTGATTGTATCATCTCACTGTATACTAGTATATTCCAGTTGCCATATTCCAGTGTGTATATGCTATTATATAAGCTACGAACTGGTCTGTATTATAGAGTAGTAATTTAGCAGATTTTTGTTTTACAAATGGGAAGATTGATGATAACAATCACTATAACCAGAGGTACATTACTTGGGGTTTGCAACGCGCATAGTACTGTATGGTGACATCATGCCAAGACCTCATTCAAGTCTCATCTCGAAGATAGCGAGACTGATGCTACGACCTTTTGACATGACATAGGCAGTTTGTAATAAAACAATAAAACATGTATTGAAAAAATGTACAGAAAATATATTATCATAATCCGTCATATCGTGAGCAGCTATTTTGATCTACCTGGACATTATCCTAGTTACCTCGGGCATGCACATTCGCATTTTTCTGAGTTGGAACACTTATGCGAGAGCGAGATTGAAACAGGATCTTGGTATCATGTCACCGTAGTTGCACACCCCAAGTAATGTACCTCTGCTATAACTAAGCAACAAAGTTTTTTAGTTACTAACTAAGAACCTGATCTTAAACTACTATTAGTAGATATGTATGTAAATACATGTATTTATAGCAATCAAACACATCTCTGACAGAAGTGTATCCAGATTTTGACACTCAAGACTGAATTTATAATAATTGTCGAATTCTGGAGAATTATTACATTTTTTCATACTTTTTAGCAAAATTCTTTTTATTTTTGTTACCTTGTAATGAAGCTGAATATGCCTGGATTTGCACCTGGACAAGAACGAGTTACTCATGGTTGTGAGAGATTTTTTATTTTCAAACCTCAGTATAAATGACAGACACAAGAATTAGAACATATTTTCCACAGTCTCTCACAGGCTGCCGTTGATTGGCAGATTCACAGTAGCATTGAGGTGAGCCAAGTCTAATCCTAATTTTGTACAAGAAATTCAAGTTAATAAATATATATTTTTGCTAGTGTTAAAAAAACATTAAGGGAAAAGTTGATCAGATGATGACACTTAATTTACTGCGCAATTCTGCAGCATCAGTGATCGTGTTAGTGGCTATGAAATGAGGTTTAGACGGAACACGAACATGAACTCACCTTCCATGCTTAGCTTGGCCTTTTTATGTGGCAATGTCATATCTTTGATGTTTATCAGTGTCTTTGTTTGTTATAACTTATCTTGAACTTGGGAAAACAGGTCCTGTCAGATTAATAGTTTTTTTTAATAATAGTATTTTATAACCACTTTGAAGGACCTAGCAGAGTAAACAAAAAGAAAAAAAAAATATTTTTCTCAAAAAAATACATATTTAAATTTTGAAATCATAATAATCTTAGCTATAGTGAAAGGCAAAAAGCTCTACATACCTACAAGTATAACAAGTCGTAAATACCGATCATTAATTTTCATTCAAATATTTGATAATGATTGGCTCAAAAGCTCCATATTGTTTGCGTCCATATAGCACAAACAAGCCTTCATGTGACAAAGCAACTACAACCGCCCACTTATTCAAAATGAAGGGCTTGCTGATTGGATTTGATGATATTGAACTAACTAATTCTATTCTAATTTGTATAAACATGTATACTGGCCATAGATGATGTATTTTCCCTGCATTATTTTGTGTCAAATAGAATCTGAATACAAAATTAGCTAAAATACTACAAAAATATTTGTCTAAATAATGTAACTCGCCATTAGAGACTGGAAGCCTTGTCGATATACTATATCCCACACACAAATGTATTGCCGACTGCCAGTGGGTAGCTCTATTTTTGTCGGTTAATGTCTACATGTACACTGATGCAAATCACAAATTCAGCAGACTGTAAGTATAAGCTGCATGTACCTTGTACACTATGTACAAGCCATCACTTAATCCTTTAATACTAGTATCAGAAATACTGTGTCCCAAAATATCCATGATTAGGAAAGAATGTTGTACCCCCACCCCTAGCTCTACCCCCCTCTAGATAGCTACAGGTGTCCTTATGAGGGGCATACTGTTCCCTAAGAGTTCCTCAGGGCCCCCTCACCCATAACTTCAATAAAAAAACCTGCCCACCATTATCCCACTGTCCCTCAACACGGGTAGGTGATTACCCCTCCTGTATTTTAATGGTATATACCCCTATTTGGAGGGTCATACTCAGGTCATACTGAATTACATTTGGGTGCTGGCGTGTTAGGGTTAGTGCTCAGGTTAGCGGTGAGGGAGCCCTTTCCATAATTTAGATTTATATGTTTTAAATATGTGTTCTCGTAGTAGTGACTGTGCATTTTAATTCCTTCTGAGGAAAAATTAAAAACTATAATTGTTGGTAGAAATCACAGAATTACTATTCAAGGGTGCGGTAATACATTCTCCAACAAATGTATCAAAAATATTATATATTTATCAACAGATCATAATAAAACTATTTTTTTTCTTACCAATATAGAAAAGAAAGTACACACATTCGAACCAGCCTTGGCTACAAAATCCCGGAGCTCAATCTATCCCATCATAGCGGAAGAAACCATCACAGAATAGGGGTGCATGGAAACTAATACGAGTACGAGCAGCCATTACTCGCTCATTTATCGCATCAGTTCTATGAACTTCAAAACATGACGTATTTAACTTATTAAATAAATATATTGGATGACACACATGGAATCTTACTCGCCAAATTGCCGTAATAAGTTATTTGTCATACTGAATGGCCCAACTAACGCGAGGTATCGCGAGAGTTGAATTTTGACGAGGTCAAAGGATATTGTTTTTATTCTCCACTTCCATGAAATAAGAAACGGACATCATATTTATGCAAAAATACAGGTAAAATCGGATATTAATTGATCTGTATGTACTTTGAATGAATCAGTCAATGTCTGAATGGTGCATTAGTCATATCATTTCTAATACATTACCGAAATGGTTCTGTAATGTATCTTTTTAAATTTTCGGTTTAAATGTTTAACAAAGCAGCGCCGCCATTTTCCCTATCGGCCATGACCCAATCGCTTCATTGACAGTATTACGTACCCACGTGTGGAGACTGTTTTTGGAAAAAAAAAATCTGATGCATTTTCGGATTGTACATGAAACAACTCACAGGAGTGTACTCTTGTGTAACAATTAATCGACGGATTTTTGAGTTCACATGTTTTTGCTGACCTAGTTAGTTTGATGACGCATTGTATTTCAACCTGTACGCGTATTTCTGTCTGTGTTTTCATTACAAATACACGCAAGACCCCTTCTTGTTCCAAAATGGGGGAATCCCTTTCTAATATTGTGTGTGAGAGCATAATCTGGGGTTAACGCAATATGTGCATATTTTCGTTCCACCATGCACGCAGTGATACATGTCCTCCAACAGGAATGATTTGGTACCCATGGATTTTGAGTCGCAATGAAATAATTAGTAGTCACCTTGTAGAATTCTTGGGTGAGATGTATCAAAGGATAAATAAAGATCGTAAATTGTTATGACACCTAATTTTTATAATTCCCACACATATTTTGTTTATAAAATGTGAATTTCGTATTAACAAATTAGAGGTACATGTAATAACTATATAGTAAGATTTTTGTGAATATATCACTGTATTCGGCAGGTGCATTACGCAGGTCGGGTCGGGTCGGGTCAGGTCGTCGGGTCGGGTCACAATTTAGGTTGCAGATAATCCAATTTTTGCCATACAACATTATATTTTCACATATTGTTTATCTGAACTGCTTATCTACCTACATTTAATTATTTTGTACGATGTTTTGGATTTTATGAATGAAGTGGCTATTCGTCCAGTTCATTTCCAGTGTACGCTGCTATGTGATCGTTGTTAAATACTGTAAAGGGGGTAATTATTCACTGGGTTTTAATTTAGCTTATTTCGCTGACTGGAAAAATGCGCTAAATTAAAACCCAGTGAATATGTACAATTTAGCATGGAACACATTATCAAAATGATAAAACCGTGAATTTAAAACCTACTGAATATGCCTGAAATGGTAAATCAGTGAAATTTAAACCCAGTGAAAATTAGTCATTTTACAGTAGTTGAATGTTTTACTAGTTC